CTGGCTCTGCTGACTGAGATACACTTTCCTCTGTGGCATCACTAGAGCCTTAGACAAATGCAGCAAAGATGTGCTTTTGAAAGGAAGTCAAACAGCCAGAACAGAGTTTCTAAAAAATACAGTGCTTACAAGTCCCCTGTGTCAAATAGGGCAGGAGCCCTTGCCAGCAAGAGGGCAAGACAAATACCTACATTTCTTCTTGAGACTCACCTAGAACCCTTGCCCTCTGTCAGATATCACCTACTCCAGGCTCTCATTCTTTCTTTTCTCTACTTGAGTTTAAACAAACAAGCTCTGTCTGTACACTGTCTTTAGCTGCTACTCCAAAACAAGTCACAGATAAAAGCAATGCTTGGATCAGCTGATGTGTGCTGACCTGCTCAGACAGCCACAGCCCTCTTTGCCCTCATGGTGGCATGGACAGTCATCATAAAAATACTACCAAAGACTCACCTGTTCTTAGCATCTTGCTTTTGCTTTGGCCTCTGGTTGTGTACAGCCTGTGCCGTTTCACAGCTGTAAGCTAACACCTCGCTCTACCACATAAGCACAAACACAGGAACCTGGGCTTGGGGTTGATTGTGGGATGCAGGGAGCAGGGCTGAATGCAGGGGGCAGGATTTAATCTGATCCCTACCTGGGCTGTCCACAGATTATCAAGACATCTTCTTCATGCGCACTCCCACCCCCACTATGTCCACAGCTGAGAGGGAGGAAGGGCTTTACCACTAACAAATCTGCTTCCTCACATTTATGAGCTCCTGTCAGAGCACTGTGGAATGACATCATCACCAAAATGAGCCAAAGTGACCCAGATGGGTGCTGAACTCTCCACAAGTTCTCCAAACCAGGAGTAGGAGGTGATAAAATCATGAAGGATGAGAAACCTGTGCCTTGCAAGGTGAGGAGTGAACTGTGGGAGCTTCCTCACCTGGCTGGAGGTGCTGTGGTTTTCTGACCAGAGGGTGAATGTGCAATGGTGCCAGCAGTAGCAAGAAGGGGTCAAGGAGGCTGGAAAGAGGGCAAACAGGAAACCAAGAAGGCTGCAGGTCTGGTGGCTCTGAGAGCTGGGGGATGAGGAGGTAGCGAAAGGCTGTAGCTCCGAACAAGGAAGATTTTTCATTTCTCTGGTAAGTTCAACAGGCTCAGGACTCAAAGTGGCCACAGACCATCAACAACAGCCAGCCCAGTGTGGACACAAGTGCCTGCCAGCCCTTATCCTCCTGGCACAACAGCTCCCGCCATGGTGGAGGCAACACACCTGTGAGGGTCCAGTGGCAAAAACTAGGCTACATCAGCCATGGAACAAGTCATGAGAACCCCTAAGCCAAATCTGCCCAAACATGTCTAAGTTTTATACCAAACGTTCTGAGCTTTAACATATGTTAGTACGTCTCCTTCCTAATAGCTTTCCCTTGTGTTTCTTCTCTTCCAGCACTGAATGTGTGATTCAGCCATGCATTAACCTTTGTGTCTGATTCCTGATCTCCTGTTAAAATCTGTGTTAATTCCTTAGAATCTCACAATTTTTCCTCCAAGAAAATTCTGAGTAGTTCTGGGATTCCTGTACCCACAGACGCAGTAGGTAGCTAGCATGGTCTGCTCTCCAACAGCTCAGGCTGCATGAATGGTCTAATTAACACCTCATCAAACTCAGCTCTTGGTTGTGTCTGGAGAAATTCCCTCTTGCACCTGTGCATTCGCAAGACACCATTTCTAGCCTCCTGCACAGCAGGCCCCAGCCATTGGAGCAACGCTCCACCACTGCAGAGCCTGTCCTTACCTCAGCAGTAACGGTCCGGCCCAGTCTCCAGGACTTGCCAGGCCAGAGTGACCCCAACGTGTTCTGTGACTACTTTGAGTCACTGCACTGTGCACAGTGGTGCAAGACCCAGGAGCAATAGCTCAGCAGCGAAGGGTGTGCAAAGCCCATGCTGCTGCTTTTCGGGCAGGGCTCTCCTCCCCCCACCATCTCCTACTTCCATCATCAGCAAGTGCACAGGTGTCGCCGAGTACAGCTCAGTGTCGCCTGCCTAAGGACAAGCTTTGCAGTGGGACAGCGTGCACACAACCCTGCATGCTGCCAACCTTCAGCTGCCTGATCTGCGCTTACCATCTAGCCTGTCTAGCAGACGCCAGAGAAAGATGGCACCCCAGGAAGGGTTCCATCCCACCCTGTCCTGGAGGACAGTCTCTAAGATTGGCTCAGAACAGCCCTGGAGGCATCCATCATTCGCCACTGAGACAGACAGAGCCTGGTGAACAGCAGAGAGCAATGCCCAGTTCATGCTGACGCTGCCATTATTGCAGGACAAGGTTTAAACATAAAAAGTAAGTTTAGCTTTGTTGCTTGAGGCAACAGTTGAACGATAGACTACAATGTTTGCAACATGGAACACGCAACAGGAAAATGTATTTTTAGGTAATAATTTACAACGAGGCTTTTTTCTGTTTCAGGACCTCAGATAACTCTAGAGGCTTTCCCTAGAGAACATCTAATGCCAGCCTCTGCTGTTGGTGATCACTCCTTGGACCTCTCTGAGCTCTACTGTCCCATTCATTTCCATTATTTCCCCCACCAAAGCCTGCTTCCTCACTTTGTGTAACAGGGCACTGCTTGCCTGGCAGACTAACGCACCCACCCTGTCTTCTGCTCTGGGGTGTCTCATGTCTCCCTTCCAGCCTTACTTAACATTTGAGTCAATCCAATCTTTCACCTAGTATATCTCTTCCTACCTGCTTGACTTCTGCTGTTCACTTTTTTCTTTTTGTTTTTTAAATAAGAGAAAAACTGTGGATTTTACATCATTAGGACTATGAACTGCACACATCTTATTTGCCCTGGAGCCTTCATTCTACTGTGCGCACTACACAGACCACTGGTCTAGCAAGGCAGACAGCAGGCTTGCCGCTGAGACCACCTTCCTAAATTCCTTCTCCTCTCTCCCACTTGCTGTATGTGGCTCATTCAGGATCCCAAGAGGCATGTCCTGGCCATGCCAGCCCTAGGCATATGCTGAGCCACATCCCATTGACTAATTCTGCGATGTTCCTGCAGAAGGCAGAGTTCCCAGTAGCACTAGCTGAGACCACTGAAGAGACCCCAGGGAGCTGCTGGAAATAAAGCTCACGCTGTCAAACGGCTTAGGCGTTGGGGTTGGTTTGTTTGTCGTTTTGCAACTCCATTTCTAAATGCTGCAAATGAGCGCTTAGCCCTTTGTTTTTGTGTAATCAGACTGGTTCCTTCTCTTTATGCCCTGACTGGTAGTAATGGGGTCTTTATGTGGAAAGACAAGCAGCTCTTTTCCCACAGAACTCCATGGGCTGTAAGGCCACATGTCCACGTGCCGCTCGCCAAGAGCTGCAGACACCAGGGTTTGGTGTGCAGGGCACAAGGTTTCTCCACGAGAGAGTGAAACCAGTTTCAGTGCCTGTAGACCAGTGTCCCCCTGGCAGGCAGAGCTGGCAGCAGAGAAACAGCATATAGCTTGGAGAGCACGCAAACTCACTACAGCTCTTTCAGACCAGCGTGGGGATCTGGAGAGCCCCTGCCATCCCATCACCAGGGCTGTTCAAACCTTAGTTCTTACCAACCTTCTCATTTACTCAGGATGGTGTTTCCACCATCCTCTCTATCAGACTGTACTCTACAGCCTCGCTCCTGGAGTTGCTGTCAGTCAAAGCACAGCTCCAGCGACGCGGAGCCGCTGGGCCACCCCGGCTGTGCAACTCGGCTCTTCCAACCCCTCTTCCCTGGGACCCAACTGCGGCACATGAAGGGCAAACGCAGCAGTAAGACTTCCCTTTCTCTAAGAGCTTCTTGGCTCTCATCCCTCTTGTTTTCCTTACTCAAGCCCGCTCCTCCCAGCACTAATAGATTTCCTGC